CAAAGGACAGTACAGACGTACCAGAGAGAGAGCACATGAGACAGATCAGACAGTACAGAGTGACAGAGACAGACAGACAGACAGTAGAGAGCAAGAGTGCGATATACGGACAGAGAGAGCAGAACAGACAGAGGCAGAGACAGATACAGGAAGTACACAGAAAGAGAGAAAAACAAACAAGACGTTTCGAATCACACCTTTCCCTTACTCTCTGAAAAAAAAAAAATCTGCCATGAAGTTTGCATGTGGCTCCTCCCTTTTGTAATTTCAATGCACCTCAACTTTCTATTCTGTTCCTTTCCGACCCAGCAATCCCGTTTAGTTTTCTAATCATAAAACGGGGAAAACGCCTCTTAATTAAAAGCAAGCAGATTTAATTGTCCACGTGCACACCAGCGAGGTTCCCAAAGCGAGTTTCTTTTGAAACACTGGAACAAGGTGAAAAAATAGTGCAAAATAGGCTGGACTCTTCACTTGGTCTTTTCCCATAAAAGGACAGCCTCGTGTTCCTCTTAGATTAGGGATCTCTGTTGCCATTCCTGTTTATAATTTCTGTTGGAAATCATTCCGTTCTATTTCTGTTCCGTTATTAGCCTAACGTCTACTAATTTCTGTTGTCGGATTTTTTTTTTTTTTCCCGCTGCCAAGATGTTCATTCCTCAATGTGTTTCGAATATTTTTCTTTCTTTTCTGATCACCAGTATCTGATGTCTCCGTCGAGATCTATCCTTTTATGTTCCTAAATGATGTACTAAGAGGTAATCTAAAGGGAGCTACGTCGTTTCTCTTGATGGCCCGAAGTCACTTGTTCACATCTGACGTAAAACTCTTTTAGACAAACTGTTTTCTGGCTTTACACCTTTCTCTGTAATTTGCTTCCAGATCGTCCGTTTTATGTCGGTTATTATTGTTTTCGACACCGATTTCCGCAGCCGCCTTTCATCGCACCCTCCATTTCTCCTCTTTATCAATGGCCTCCTCTGTGCTTATTCCTCGCCTATTTACCTCTCCCGTTTCTTCTTCGCTTTTATTTCTTACTTAAATCCCCAAAAAATGCTTTAGGGTGAAAATAATATTGAGTCCCCGCGCTATCCGCAAATACGCAGGATGGCATTTCTCTCTCCATCTGACTGAACGACCATTGAGCCTTTTTGAAATACAGTAATTTCAACCATAACCATATATTCTTATCACTCGGAATTGTATAGTTAACAAGAACCCATTTTTCACAACACATAACAAATTCACCCAAACAGTACAAGACCTCGAATATATAATGAAAGAAAGAAAAAATATAGACCTATAGACTACTTCCTGGAAAGAGGCGACAAAACCCGATAAAACTTCCTCATCCCTTACGTTGTGCAATAATTAATAATTGTCAATCTTCACTGTCTGTCTTAATTGGTTCAGTGATTTCGCGGCATCATACTTTCTGCTCTCAAAAGTCCGGAATCCAATGATATCTTATATTCTCTCCTTATTTTTACAACACTTCTCCAGACTGGTTCCTCTGCGCGCCGGAGTGTGATCCTTACTTGCTCGTTTTGAAATTCACTTTGTTGGTCTAGTTTTTTTCGTATGATATATATTGGTATATAAATATATATATATATATATAATATATATATATATATAATTGTATGATAATGTATGTGTTGTGTGTGTGTATACGATAATATATAATTAGTGTATATGTATGCGTTGTGGTGTGTGGGTATGTTGTGTGTTGTGTGTCTGTGTGTGTGTGTGTGTCTGTGTTGTGTGTGTGTGTGTTGTGTGTGTGTGATACAGAAAGAACAAAAGAACAAGGAGAAGGAAAGGAGAAAGAGGGAGATTAAGATCTTTTTTTTTTCTTAAACCAAGTAAATAGAAGAATAACAAAAAGTGAAAGACAATGTGAAAAAAAAAAAAAAAATAATATATATTTCCCGGGACCTTTTACTTTCAGTCTCTATAATGATCTGTCTGTTTCCTGTCCATCTATGTCTATTTTTCATTCACTCCTATTTATCTATTTTATCTACATAATCTACCTACTTCTAATCCACGTAATCTATCGATCTATCCATTTAATTTATCCAACTACCTCTCACCCTTTCTATCCATTTATCCTATCTATCTATCTGTCTATCTAAATCTATCCATCTATCTTATCAACATATTTATCATATCTATCTATCAACATATTTATCTATCAATCTATTCACGTAGCCGTATTCTATCTATTATAATTATCTATCCACCATTCTCTTCTATTTATCTATTTATCTATTCTAACCATCATTTATCTTTTTCTATCTATCTATCTATTCTATCTATTTATCCTGTATCTATCTATCTATCTATCTATCCATCTATCTATATATCTAATATCTATCTCTATTCTATCATCTACCAATCCATCTACTATCTATCCAAGTTTTCCCCCAACTACTTAACCTCCCTCAGCTAAAATACTAAATACTAACTTTGTTTCACGAAGAATCCGTTTTTTTTTTTTTATTTTTTTTTTTTTATTTTTTTTTTTTGCCAAATCAACAGCTTCTTTTTACCTTGCCAGATTTATTTCAAGTTTGTCTTGGTCCGAATCCCGCGTGCTTTCCTCATGCAGAAATACTTTCAAGTTTCTGCTGGTCGATTTTGCGTGCTTTCCTCATGCCAAAATACTTCAAGTTCGTTCTGTGTCCGATTCCCTGCGTGCTTTCCTCATGCAGAAATTCTTCAAGTTCTGTCTGTGTCGATTCCCTGCGTGCTTTCCTCTTGCAGAAATACTTCAAGTCTCGTCTGTGTCCGATTCCCTGCGTGCTTTCCTCATGCAGAAATACTTCAAGTTCTGATCTGCTGTCCGATCTCCCTGCGCCTGCGTGCTTTCCTCATGCAGAAATACTTCAATTTCTGTCTTGGTCCGAATTCCCTGCTGCTTTCCTCATGCAAAATACTTCAAGTTCTGTCTGTGTCCGATTCCCTGCGTGCTTTCCTCATGCAGAAAATACTTCAAGTTCTGTCTGTGTCGATTCCCTGCGTTGTCTTTCCTCATGCAGAAATACTTCAATTTTCTCTGTGTCCGATTCCCTGCGTGCTTCCTCATGCAGCAGAAATACTTCAAGTTCTGTCTGTAACATGTCCGATTCCCCTGCTGCTATTCCTCATGCAGAAATTTATACTTCAATTCTGTCTGTGTCCGACATTCCCACTGTTGTACTTTCCTCTTGCAGAAATACTATTCAAGTTCCTGTTTCTGGTATGTCCGATTCGCCTGCGTGCTTTCCCACAATGCAGAAATACCTTATGTTCTGTGCGTATGGTGGCCACGATTCCCTGGCCGTGCTTTCACCTACATGCAGAATACTCAAGTTTCTGTCTGTTGTCCGATATCCAGCGTGCTTTCCTCTTGCAAGAATAACTTCAATTATGTCTGTGTCCGCATTCCCTGTGCTGTGCTCCCAATCAGAACAGTAACTTCAAAGGTTCTGTTCTGTGGTCCGATTCCACTGTGCGTTGCTTTCCTTCTGTAGATAATACTTCAAAGTCTCTGTCCTCTTGTGGTGCCACGATTCCCTGCCTGCATTTCCTCATTGCGAGGGAGAATACTGCACAAGTTCGGTCTGTGTCCCGAATTACCCCCTCTAGGCGTGACTTTTTATCCTCTCCACCTCATGCCAGTGAAAAATATACTTCCCCCATAAAGATATAAACCCATACTCCAAAAATCTAGGACTGGAGGTTCTTCCCTCCTTTGTTAATTCTTATCTCCTTTGGCGGGACAAGAAATAGACGCCAGCAACCTCTTGGGCTGACTCGGTGGAATATTTAAACCTTGTCTCCACACGTCCAAGATGATAAAAACCTAAACTTAGGAAATTACCTGTCAACAAACAACCAAAAACAATAAGCAAAAAACAAAAAGAACTGTGGAAACAAGGCAAACCCACACAATTTGAACACTGATATAAAAACCCCAAAAAACAAAACGAAACAAAAAACACAATTCACACCAATAATAAACTTCAAAAAAGCATTCTGTCTCGATTTAGATCACGAAATATTAACAATCCGCCTCCTGCGTGCTTTTCCTCTTGCGAAAACTTCAATTGTCTTCGTGTCCGCAGTTCCCCCACTTGTACTCTGAGAATATTCGGTACCAAAGGACTTTCTTCAAATAAAAAATAGCAGCAAATAACTAAAATAAAAAAAAAGTCTGTGGCAACATACTACAGGCTCTCCCTCTCTCTTTCTCCCTACCTCGGTGTGTCCGGAGTCTTCTACCCAGCACCCGTCCAACACTTCTATCTGCTTGCCTCATGCAGGAATACTTCAATTCTGTCTGGTGTTCGATTTCCCTTGCGTGCTTTCCTCATTGCAGAAATACTTAAGTTCTGCTCTGTGTCGATTCCGCGTGTTCCTCATGCAGAAATACTTCAAGTTCGTCTGTCGTCCGATTCCCTGCGTGCTTTTTCCTTGCACGTGCTCAGAGATCCACTTCAAGTTCGTCTGGCTTCGCGATTCCCTGCGTTGCTTTCCTGCATGGCCAGTCTTCAAGTCTGTCTAGCTGTCCGATTCCCTGCGTGCTTTCCTCTTGCAGAAATACTTTCAAGTTCTGCCTGTGTCCGATTCCCTGCGCTGCTTTCCTTCATGCAGAAATACTTCAAGGTTCTGCCTGTGTCCGATTCCCTTGCGTGCTTTCCTCATTGCAGAAATACTTCCAAGTTCTGCCTGTGTCCGATTCCCTGCGTGCTTTCCTCATGCAGAAATACTTCAAGTTCTGTCTGTGTCCGATTCCCTGCGTGCTTTCCTCATGCAGAAATACTTTCACGAGTCACTTTAGGATGATTTGAATGAGTTTCGTTTATGGTTCATTAGTATTTTGCGTGTAGGTGTGCCTGGTGTGTGTGTGTAGTTGCGTATGTGGGTTTGTGTGTGGATTTTCTTTCTTTTTTTTTTTTTTTGGGGGGGAGGGGGTGTTTGTTTGCGTCTGTGTGTATGCATCTTTTTTGCTTGTTTGTTTTGTTTGTTTGTTGTTGTGTGTGTGTGTTGTTATGTGTATGTGTATGTGTTGTGTGTGTGGTGTGTGTGTGTGTGTGTGTGTGTGTGTGTGTGTGTGTGTGTGTGTGTGTGTGTCCGTCCATGTGGGTCTGTGTACGTGCACGTGTGTGTGTGTGTGTGTGTGCACGTTGATTTGTACGCATGTTTGAGTATTTTGTACACACTCTGAACACTTGTGTATATGTACACATGTCTGAATATTCATCCATTTACACAACGCAAAACCACTGCTCACTAAATCGCACAAACACGCCATAACAAGCGCACATAAAAAGCGAAAACAAAAAACAAAAAAAGCATCGCCTTGCGTGAGGGAAAAAAATGAATCTCTTTGAAAAAATGTTTGTGGGAAAGTACGTGTTTGTTCATGCTTTTTTTTTCTTCTTCTTCTCCTTCTAAACTTGTGTATATTTCCAAAGACAAATATCGTAACAGTAAGAGTGCGAAAGTACGTGTTTCTTCTTTCATGCTTTTTCTTCTTCTTCTTCTTCTTCTCCTTCTAAACATACGTATATTTCCAAAGACAAATATCGTAACAGTAAGAGTGCAAAAAACATGTGACTGCGCGTGCGAATGTAAGTATGTGAAGGTATGTGCGTGCTTGTATGCTAATGCGCGGAGGTATGCTTGCCGTAGCATAAAGGCATTGTAGATGTAGGACATACTTCTCCTTCTGAAGCTTATATATATATATATATTTTTTTTTTTTTTTTGCAATAAGTACAATATCGAAAATGCAACCGATATATAAGTAGTGGATGGAGATTCCAAGTTTTCGGAAAAGAGATTTTTTTATTATCATTATTATTTTCTTATTTATTTATTTATTTTATTCTATTTATTTATTTTTTATTTTTCTATTATTTATTTATTTATTTATTTATTTATTTATTATTTATTCTATTATTTTTTATTTATTTATTCTATTTATTATTTATTTATTTATTTATTTTATCTATTTATTTCTATTTTATTGTTATTTTTCTGAGCCACCTGATTCTTCTGTAAAGCAATTAAAATACGGATTCTATAATCAATTTCTCATCACCCAGAAAAAAAAAAATCATGCACATGTCCATGCATGCAAAGCAACATGCTATTTCAAGTAATAACTAGTCATCGTAAACGCACATAGTCAAGAGGAATTTTCTTCTTGAATTTCAATAGCATTAGAAACTTTTAGCGGCGCTTAGTATCTCAATTTCAAAAGGAGTTCGATTCCATTCACTGAAATAAGATGAGAGAGAATCCTTGTACTTTTTACAAAATGGGGAATATATTTTAAGAATCTCAGTCCTTTCTTTAAAGAATTTGAGTCGTGTGATGTGTCGAATTTCTTGTCCTTCTTGCCCTGTTTTATTATTATTATATTATTCATATTTTATTATTTATTATATTATTTATTATATTATTTATATTTTATTATTTATTATATTATTCTTGTCTAGTCCTTGTCTCTCTTTCAGTCCTCCTACCTACTTCAGCAGGTTTGTCACAGTGTCCCTTATTCCTCTTTCTGCTTCAGCGAATATCTAATTTGTCAATCCCTTTCACCCAGTCCGTAATTCCCTTATCTATTTCAGTGTCCCTAATTCCCCCTTCTTCTTTAGCGGTTATACAATATACTGTATGCAATGATATAGTTCTCGTGTCAGTTCAGGAAGTCTCTATTTCGATATATTTCAGTAGGTAATTCACCCCATCCTCATTTCAGTACGAATCTAATATCCTAACTTTTATAGACAAATATTTAATCCTCACATACATTTTTTTTCAGCTCGCATATTCCCATAACTCCAGAAGGTAAGAAAAAAAAACAACTCTGATTTTCATTATCTATCGACAAGACTTTTCTTTCCTCTGAAATCTATGCCAAGCTTCCTGCTCGTGACAGCTTATGCCTGTTCGTTATGTTATCAGTCTCTATCTTTCAATAGCTGATCGTGATCAGATATCCTGTTATCGTTATTTATCAGTCTCAATAGAGCTTTCAATAGCTTTATCCTGTTATCGTTATGTTATCAGTCTCTATTTTATTGGGTATAAATTTTCAGTCTCTTTCAATAGCTTTATCCTGTTAATTCCAGCTGGCACCGGACCGGCCTTTCCGTGCCAGTATGCGTCCAGTGCCCCCATTCGTTAGAGCAGGTATCCAGTTCCCAGCAGGTGCCAATACCCTTTGATTTTCACTCTCGGTCGATAGGGTATGTATCTCATGAAGTCTATCTCGGTTTGAATGACTTTTTCTGTTTTATGTTGTTTTTTTTCAATAGGTAACGTCACTTTGTCAATAATTATTATCATTATTACTTTTTTTTTTTTTTTTTTTTTTTTGTCTTCGTATTCCTATTTTTGCTCGGCTGTTCTGGCCTATTTTATATTGGTCATCGTCGACTTGTCTGATGCATTATGCCTATTTCAGTAGGTATGTAGTCCCTATGCCTGTTTCAGCAG